TCGGGCTTCCAGGGGTTCCTGGAAGAGACGGGGAGAAGGGCAAACGTGGAGTCCCGGTGAGTGAGGATCAGTACTGATTCACTGAGAAACAAGCAAGTGCTTCTAGGTCAGATCAGTGCATTAATCCAATAAAGTTTCATAGATGAACATTGACCCGTAAAGCTGTGAATCGAGCTCAGATCAGCCCGGAGGAGCGCGAGATGAGGGTGAAGATGAAGGAGTTCAGGTTTCATTTCTTCTTCGTATGAACTGACATTCATCTGCTGAGCTCGGATGATGTGTTATGATTTATGATTAAACTGCCTTTGGACATGACAAAACTACTACTAACTTCCTGTTTCCTGCTTAAACACGGTCACAAAAACCCTGACGCTTCTCTGGCAGGACAGCTTTCCTGAACGACTGCTCAAGAAAACACTAATAACACCTGAGTCAAGAAAAGACAATGGGATTGTGTTCAGTGCAAGAGGTCCTTATGTGGTGATTTCTCTCATTTTAGGGTGAAAATGGACGAGACGGTCAACCAGGAAAAGATGGAGAAGAAGGGCAGAACGTAAGATATTTGATTAGGAAATGTGGCATTTTTCCAGGCTTGTATTTATCACTGTCTGTTGATTTTATTCTTTATTTAATTCCTGTATTCCTCTCTTGCTGTCTTTGAACATTTAGTTGCATGATTATCATACACACATTCAGGTGAAGTCACACTTCTGCAGATTATTTCTGTTTGCAGCTGATAACGTCCTGATCTTCAGCCTCGTGTCGCTCCAAACCCTCACGCAGAACTAAATGTCTTTCCATGCAGTGAAACTCTGGAGATTTGGACATGTCTTGTGTTTTTTTGGCAGGGTGAAGCAGGTTTACCTGGAATCATGGGACAAAAGGTAATGTCGTTTGGATCACACTGGTGTTTCAGATCAGTTTGCCAGATTCACTTCTTTAAATTGAGTAAAAAAAGCAAACGATCAGAGATGTGTTATGAGTTTGAAGACTTGACTGAACATTACTAGACTGTTATAGCTTTAGAAGCGATCTTTGTCTTCAGGGTGATGCGGGCCAGCCGGGGCTCCCAGGACAGACAGGGGCTGAGGGCCCCAGGGGTCAGCCAGGCTCTCCGGGGCCCCCCGGACCTCCAGGAACAGGCTTCAGCTTTGACATGATGGTGTGTTTCACTGACCTTCAGATTTATTGATTTGACAGGTTTTTATTTATTTATTTATTTGCATGTGAGTATTGGATAGTTGTGACCCTGGACCACAAAACCAGTCATAAGGGTCCATTTTTTGAAATTGAGATGTATACATCATCTGAAAGCTGAATAAATAAGCTTTTCATTGATGTATGGTTTGTTAGGATAGCACAATATTTGGCTGAGATGCAACTATTTGAAAATCTGGAATCTGAGGGTGCAAAAAAATCTAAATATTGAGAAAATCATCTTTAAAGTTGTCCAAATGAAGTTCTTAGCAATGCATATTACTAATCAAACATTAAGTTTTGATATATTTACAGTAGGACATTTACTAAATATCTTCATGGAACATGATCTTTTTACTTAATATCCTAATGATTTTTGTCATAAAAGAAAAATAGATACTTTTGACCCATACAATGTATTGTTGGCTATTGCTACAAATATCCCCCAGCGACTTAACACTGCTTTTGTGCTGCAGGGACACATATTACATACTCGCTACAGACCAGTGGTAGTTCAAAGGTGTTTACAAACTGAAGTGAACTTTTCTGGTTTGGCAAGCGGTTTCGAACTCCGTTTATTTAGAGTTTGTTTCAGGAGTTCAAAACAGCCAAACTGAACTTTCCGACAAAGCTCGCTCCAGCTGGCAAACACAAAAGGCCCTTTCGCACCGCTTTAGTTCCAGAACTAAATGTACGGTACTAAAGTACTGGGACGATTTTGCGGGTACTATTTCCCAGTACCATTTAAAGGGTTGCATTCGCACCGAGAGTGTGTACTAAGTGACGTAAGTCGGTCGACAGCGTCGTCAACGTTAACAACAGGAGGATGGAGGAGGCTGTGATCGGAGCTGTGTTTGTTGTGTCTCACGGGTTTCACAATAATGGACATGGAAAGTCGACGTATACGTAAAGCGATTGAAAGAACGGAAAGGAGGACTAAGAATCTCCAACCACAACTGGCAGTGCTACATTTGCTATGAGTGCCTGCACTTCAGCGTCCGTCCATCTATCGCGGTTCTCCATACTTGCGAAATAAGTTGACATGTTTACACGGCGTTTTAAATCATGGCGGGTGAGGGCGTTTTCATACGCGTTTGGCCAATCAATGTCTACTTGCATCACGATTAGTACCAGTTGTGCTGGTTAGACCCTGCTCCGGAGTAGCAGCTAATTTGGTTCTCGAAAAAGGCAGTCCGGTACTAAAATCGCGCCCAGTTCCGGCGGTGCGAACACTCCGAAAAGTGGGTAGCTCCACAATTAGTTCTGGTACTATGAAAAGGTTCCTGCGGTGCGAAAGGCCCTA